GAAATCGTTAATATGGTATTTTGTCCCAAAACAGAAAAACATTTAGTGGGTTCATCAAAACATACATTAACTGATTGTTGAGCAAAGAGACTCAAATCAATAGACCCAGAGTTTATTTATAGCAAATCGCTTTTTATTCGAGTCTGAGATTAACTGCACTTGCACTTTGAAGTACATGCATCATTTTTTGCAGGGAATAGCCAAAGTGGGCAGAAGGTAGTAAACAATACACACAACTCATCTCTAATGTAGTTTTATTAACTGTGTTATGGGCTGTTATTACCAGCCTGAAATTGTTAGTGTTTCATTAAAAGAAGAGTCGGCAGTTTAATGCCACACTTTGAAATGTAAAATGAGCAACTTGTCATTGGACAGTGATTTGGGGTGGCCCCTGATATCAGTGCTGTCTCTAGTGTCGTGCACAACGACACCTTTATCAACATGTCTTTTTTTGAATGCTCACATTTGCTATGTGCTAAATGCTTCTGTGTTTTCTCACCCGTACTGTAACTCAAAGCCACACGCTAAGATCAGTGTTTTGTGTCTGTCTCTTATGTAATTGTATATTTATCTTGTGTTTGTGTAGGTTTGTGTACTGTGTGCAGAGATGGCAGTGAATGTAGCAGTGAATGCAGCAGCGAATGTACATTCATATAACCGCTATGAGCTGCTGGCGTGGCTCAATGACACGTTACAGACGTGCTTCACCAAGGTGGAGCAGGTATGCACAGGTAGGTCGTCACGCAAATGTGTTTATGTGTAAATAAAATGCCAAGAAGAAACAATGAGTGCATGTTGTGTGTATACTTTGGGTCTGTGGTAGGTGGGCGGAGCTTTCATGGCCTTGTTTGTTACAGATCTCACCAGACATTCTGACATTCACCAATGTTTTTTTGTTCAGTTGCATAATAAGATTTAAATTACCATCATATTTCACAAGTTTTATTTTAGAAGCGAGTGACAATTCAGTACACGTTCATTTTTTTAAACGCATGCAAATGTTGAGTAAGAGAAGACACAGAATATTTGGTCTCTACTACATGTTGAAGAGGAGAATAATAAACCATAAATATAGTCCCCATAAACCATCTGTAGGTTTTACACACTGGTGTTTACATAATTAATGTGTCACATGTTCCATTAGAGATTTTTCAGGAGATGCAAGCGCACCAATTTGCTTTGTAGAGCAACAAATCACATCATACATGATCTCAAGGCATTTTACATAGTGACAGAATGACTTCTGTGTGTTTGTATCCTAATCCAGGTGCAGCTTATTGCCAGCTGATGGACTTGTTATTTCCTGGCTCTCTGGATCTTTCCAGGGTCCGGTTCCAAAGCAACAATCAGGTGGACTCTATCCACAACTACAGTTTACTGCAAGCTGCATTCAGAAGAACTGGAGTCGTACGAGTAAGTTTTTCTAAATATAAAAGTGGTGAGCGAGCAGTAAATCTGATAATATTTTATGTTTGATCAATACTGTTGTGTACTGAGTGTTTTTATGTTCTAATCCCCAATGCACCATTATCTAAACAACATGGGTTAGGTAAAAGACCTGATAACTTTCTTTGGGTCTTTGCAAGTTTTGGTGAAAGTGTCTTGTGTCTCATGTCATGGTGCGAGAGGTCATTCTCTTCAAGTAGATATTTGTGAGGTATATTCTCTTTTTTTGTCCAGTACGTCCCCATTGAGGCTCTGATGAAGAGGAACCCGACGGTGGCTCTGACCTTCCTGCAGTGGTTTAAGCTGTTTTTTAATGAGAACAACAAGGGCAGGGAGTACCACGCCCTGGAGGCCAGAGGAGGCCAGAGCATGGCTCCTACTGACTCAGGTGGGAGCAGTGTATATCCATGGATTAAAAACTGTAGCTTTAATTACAAGACTGTGGCGGCTCACCATAGTTTAATCCGTCTGTCATGGTTTTCATATGTGTTCAGGTGGTGCAACTCAGTGTCCTTTCCTCTTACAGATGATGTTTCCAAGACTCTTCATCAGAAACTGGAGATCATTCTGAAGATGGAAGCAAGAAAAGAGAAACCCAGAGACGATCTGAACAGGACCGCAGAAATGGTGGTGGTGATATCTGACGACGATGATGATTTGATGATGGATGTGTCGAATGAGCAGAAAACAGATAAAATGGAGATTCTAGAGCAAGAACAGGAGAAGGAGAGAGCAGAGCAAACAGAAGCAGCTGTGGACCAGAGAAGTGAACAAACTAGTTCTTGCAGCAGCAACACTTTGCAGAGTTTCATCAGAAAATACTGTTGTGAGAATGTGGACTCTTCTGCCATCATAAGACCGTCCATCCCAAAAGACGTCATCCAGGCCTGCTCACTCACGCCGTACTGCCTCTACCTGTACATGGGGGTAGAGCTGGACGGAGGACAAAGCGCAAGCGTCGTCCTGATTGGCTATTTTGACCAGAACTCAGGGGTCCGTGTGGTCAGGCTGCTGTGCACTCTGCAGATGAGTGTGGATCCGCAAACATCTGTGGATATGGACACAGATGCCGTACACTCTGATTCACACTTTCTGCTTGACACACTGAAGACCTCCAACCTCTCTCTGTCTAACCTTGCTGTGTTTTACTGTAACGCCCCTCACCCACGGGAGAGCTGGGTGTTTGTGTCCGAGCTCAAGGCCCACAGCCCAGGGTTGGTGTCGCTCTGTGGCCTCCCTGGGATAGCAGGAAGAGCCTGCGAGATCGCACTTTCTGCTTCCTTTCCTTACCTAGTGGACTTTGTTGGAGACATCCACCACCACTGCTCCACCCACCCCTCTGTTAATGACAGTCTGAAGGAGCTGTTTGCTGTTGTAGAGTCGTACAACCCATTGCACCCCGTCTCTGCACAGTGTTTAGTTTTCATCCACACTGTGCGGAAGATGGTCGGCAGTTGGAGGGATTTAGTGAAGCATTTTAACTCAGTGAGGCGCACGGCGGGGATTGAACGAATCAGAACCCAGCTGACAGATAGTAAAGTTGAACTGCACTTCCTCTTCCTCTCCCAGTCTTTGGAGCCCCTTCAATCTATTGAAGAAGTGCAGCAGAAAGGTGAAGCCGACGTGTTCACGGAGCTCCAGCTGACCTCTGCTTTGATTCAGTCATATGCAGCTAACATTTTCCGGCCCTCCAGTGCTAAGCGCTTTGTCAGTAGACCAGAGCTTTATCTCCTCCACAGTGACAGGGAGCTGCTCCCCACATCAGAGATTAACGTAGGCTCCAATGCGATGGACTTCTTGTGGGCCACTGCTGACGTGGATCTTGAGGAACAGGAGAGGAGCGACTTCCTGAAGGCTGCAGTGACTTTCTATAAAACAACGCTACAGAGCATAGTACAGAGTGTCCCTCAGCAGCTTGGAAAAGTGAGCCTGAGGGGCATCAACACAGTGCTGAAACACCCAGGGAATATCAATGTAAGAAGGTTCATTTCTTTTTGCCCTGAATCAGAGCAACTGTGCTCAGTTACAGTTCAGCATTTGAACCTGCACCAGTCAGACTTTTACACCTACCTTGTTTGTTTCATACCTTAAGACTTCTGTTTCATGTAACCTAAAATATCAGGTGTGAAAGGTTCCTCGGAATAAGGTCCAGACCAACTTTAATTTTTCGTTTGATCACCAGGATCCTCAGTTGTCCAGACTTGCGGTGTCAGAGTTGGGAGTTCAGCTGGGTCTGTGTAAAGTCCAATCTCCAGAGATGGATCAGCTGGAACTCGACTACCTCAGTTTCATTAAGACGCTGGAAGAAGAACAGACGAGCAAAACAGAAGGTTATTGCTGGACAAAGGTAAACCGAGGGAAAAATGTTTCTCGGTGGTTAAAAGGTGTAACTGTCTTGTCCCTGGGAAGATTACCTGTGTTGACTGGAAAATGATTGTCAGTTTATCAGATTAGTTTCACACTTCAATCAATCAATCAATCAAATTTGATTTGTATCACCCTTATTCACAAATCACAATTTGTCTCATAGGGCTTTAACAAGGTGTGACATCCTCTGTTCTTAACTCGACAAGGAAAAAAACCTTCAAAGGGGAAAAAGAGCGTAGAACCCTGAGAGAGTCACGTGTGAACCCTAACCCAGGACGGACAGACAGAAGTGCAGCAGATGCCACGTCACATTCACAAGAGATCACATGTTTAATCTCTGTGATCACAGTGTTAGAAATGAACCCAGTTAAACAAATAAACCAAACAAGTTTCATCTCTTTTAATCATCTGTTTCTTTATTGACATTTAAGTCCTCCCACGTAGACAAGTGCAAATTCAGCAGCTGCTGTAGAAATGTTTAAAATCAAATAGAATTTCCTGTGTCCACAGATGTTGAACGGCATTAGACCATGTTCTGCTCTGCACAGACTCCTCCTGACCCTCCTTGCTCTTCCAAGCTCTCTCTGCAGGAAACAAGTGTTTTCTAAGGTGAGTGTTAAAAGCTGAGATTATGTTATTCATGGTCCACAGAGGATGAATCCACTTGAACGTTGTCATCACTGAACCTTTTCCTCTTTTCCTCTAATGCCGCCTGACATATTTTTGTGAAATATCTCCCTAACCATTGGCTGGACTACCATGACAATTTGGTTTACACATTCATGTCTTTATCACAATAATCATTTTGTTGATCCCTAACTTCTTCCGCTCTAGCACCATCAGTGGTTTGGTGTGTGCATCACTTTACTTAGAATACTAATGACCTTCCATCAGCACATCGGCCTCTGTATACCTTGTGTTAAATATTAAATAGCAAGTGTTAGCATGCTGCCCTACGACACAGATCTCTAGGTTTTGGTCTGTTCTCCTGTCTCAAGATGATCGACAGCACCAAGGCTCCTCCTGACAACAAACAAACCCCCAAACCTCAACCAGGGATGTGGACAGGAAGACCCCATGTCCGCAGAAGGAAGCTTCCCATCCTGGGAGGTTATAGCAGCAAGAAGAAAGAAGAAGAGGAGGATGATGAGAGTTCATCTGATGATGGTTTCAGTTTTGTGGACAAACACAGTCAACAAAAGACCAAAGACAACACGGAGGAGTCAGACCACACAGACAATTCTTCTGGTAAGACCTTCAGGTGAACCAGTCCACGAGACCAGACATTATCACTCATGGTTTATTTCTGTACCGGCTGCATCTACGACAGCAGCGATTCTAAATGTTGTTAATAATGATCAATATGAATGTTTTTTGTTTTTATCAGATGTGGTTGACATCAGCGAGGATTCCAAACTGTTTCACATCAGCAGGCTAACAAAGGCAGAAGGTAAATTTAGAATATACTGATCTTCTGCACTTAGTCAGGTGTTGCTTTCACTCATGACCTGAACTCCAGTCAGTTGCTCCAAAAGATTTTCTGGAACGTTTCCTTCTCGTTGCTTTATTATTATTAATGCAGTAAATCAGGTCATTCCAAAGGTTTCACATTCTTTTTCTTGCCACTGTATTTGTATGTTAAAATATTCCAAACTCTTGAGTCCAGATTTCATTTACTAATTTTTTCTGTTTTTCAGCCGAATCAGGTCTACAGGCAAACTCACTTGTCTTGGACAGTGATGATGATGAAGATGATGACGAAGAGGTTTCAAGGAGGAAACCCTCCAGATCAGCAGGATTCCTGGTAAATAAGGTAAGGTTCAGAAATTGGTTTAATGTCTTGTAGTGTGAATCTGCTGAACAAACTGAATTTACAGTTATTTGTGATAGAGTTTAAGGTTAAACTGTAAAATTTCAAACCTTAATTGTATTTCTTTGATAATGATGATTTCATTTTAGGAATCATTAACATTTTTTAGATATTTGTATATATTGTATATTTTTACTACCTGATATCGGCATATATATACACAAGGTATATATATCATGTATATATATATACATGTATATGTATGTATGTCTGCTGTGTGGAGAACTGTCAGTAGTTATGCTTTAGCATCTATATATGTGTTTGTGTTGTACAGGATTCGAACGGGGTGCTGGTCTGGGCTATGGTGAAGGGATTTGGTCTCTGGCCGGCCATCATCGAAGCCTGTGAGGAACAGAAGCTGTTTCAAGGAAAGGGGACAGTGGAGTGGTTTGGACAGAAAATGTCTTCACAACTGAGTGATGTGTGTTAAGTTATGAAGTTTTGCACATAATTATGCACATACATGCTTCATCTACATCAGTGGTCACCAACCTTTTAGAGCACAAGATCACTTTTTAATTCCAAACGTAAGTCGAGATCTACCCCCCCGATATCTTGCAAACAACCCACTTAAGAGGGTCATACTTATTAGTTGGGCAAATTCTGTCAAAGGCTCAATGTACGAGCATAAATAGGGTTAGGGTTAGTTATGCTGCTTTATCTATTCAGTGCACAATATTCACATTAATATCAATTCATATTTACAGCTTCTGTTCCATGTGCAATATCTAGCTTCTGATCAACCATATGTTTTGCAGTGGAGCTGCTGCAGAACAATGTTTTGCCTAGGCTTTGCACGGATTATGGCCATAAATATGACTATTGTCCTGTGTACTTGAATAAATACCAGTACTATGAAGCCATGCATCTTCTGCTCCTGCAAATATTTCACAATAAAAAACCCTTATTAAACAAAAGAATGTATTGGGCAACAGATATGCTGGAGTGCTTTTATTTTGATCATGTGTCTATGTCACTAACGTATTTACAACACTTCCTGAACCCGCTTCCAAGTAAAAGCATTCCGGTGTTTCACTGAATCCATTTATTTGTTTTAATGGGGCTTTGATTGTTCAAAGTTTCCCCACCTGCTTTTTAATTGACCACCACCTCCTGAGTTACTGATCATTTAAAAATGTTCACTACATTGCTCTGTCTTACTATTCTGACTCCATTCCATGCACTCATTGTTTTGGCTCTGATTCCAGGTCAGTTTGCTGACTCTGAAACCATTTGCTGCCTTCGGCGAGTGCTTCTGTTCCAGCTCCTTCGCCACACTTGCCACCTACAAAGAGGCCATTCTCCTGTCACTGGAGGTTTGTGCGCCCCTCTGCTGTCTGAAATCAACCAACTTGAAAAGTGCTTAGACACCTGTAGCGTCTAACTTAGTGATGCTATCCACAGATAAAATCTTGTTCAAACAGTTTCTGTTTCTACCATTGATGTTCATGTTTTTCCGACTGCTTCCATATTTTTTATTCTTTTTCTGTCAGGAGGCAGCACTTCGCTGTAAGAAACGATTTCCTGCGCCTCCCGAGGACAAAAATAAGCTGCTGATGCAGATGTTAGACTGGGCCTTAGCAGGCTTTCAACCCACAGGACCAGACGGATTCAAACCAACGGCTTCTGTAAATGGTACGAACATAGTAACATAGTACAGAGTAACAGCCTGGATAGATGAACTGTATTAATTATTAAAGATTTTTGGAGACATATGGTGTGAACCATATAACATTCTATCAGTCATGGTGTTTTTTTAGTTTTATTACAGATGTCAGTGAGGAAAGAGAGCATGTGTGCACAGAAAAAGTAAAAACAAAGTCAGATAATCTGCAGCGTCACATGGATCCAAGTAAGACAGGACATGTAGCTGCATCCTATTGTTAGATTTCTATATATTGCCCATATCGTGGGCAGTATTCTGTACTAGAGTTGCGAAGTTCATGAACGAACCAAATCTTTTGACCGGCTCATTAACATGAACGATGGGAACCGAGTCGCGTCTGGTTGGGAGCCGTTCTTTTTTTTTTTCTCTCTCCCTGAGTTCACACCACAGACTGTATATAAAGGGTTCACACCTATGGTTCACACAGATGCTCACAAAAGCTCCTTTCTGCTCCTCCACTGAGTGAGACAGAGAGCATGGGGAGCAACAACTTTGCATAATGCAAATATTGCATGAGTTGTGCACGCTCCCTTCACGGGAGTGCCTCAATGAAAAACAAAGAAAAAAAAAAAGCAAGCAGCCTGAAGGACGGGGACGTCGTCGTTCTGCAAAATGAGCCAAAGAAAAAGGAGCAGCATTTGGATGCACTTTTCGCTTGAGGCAGACAGTAAGGCTAAGTGCAATATTTGCCAGAAGATAATTTCATTTAAGTCTGGCTCCACAAACAATTTGCACAGGCATTTTAAAACTCAACACCCCACTGTTAAAACTTGTTTGAAGCGTTTTTCTCTAAAATTTGCACTAAAACAAGACACGGTGTTACTGACCAACAACTTAGTATTTCCTTACAGCACCTTTAATCTTTATTATTACTTTATTATATTATATTAAATATTGTTTTGAGTTTTTCTGTATTGTTCAAAATGTTCTTGTGTGTTTTTATTGTGTATTTATAAGTGTTTAGGTGTTTCATGAATAACATAAGTCAAAGTAGTTTTACACACATACACACACTTTATACAAAGGGTAAATAGTGATCTCACTGTCAACTCAGAGGGATATGGCATTGGAATATTTACAATGAATCCATATCAGACTTTGTCCACACATGTCAAATGAAGCTATAATCAATATTTCAGAATAATTCAAACTCAAATATTGGTGGAATTAACCCCAGGCTGGCTTCTTAAAAGTGGATACATATAAAAATGAGCCAGTCTTTTGAATGGCTCTTTGAAATGAACGTATCCCAAAGAGCCATAAATCCCATCTCTATTCTGTACTGCTTTGAAATGCGATGGTCATATGTCTGTCCTCTTTCCAGGTGATGGTGAGATAACCCACCAGCCGAAGGCAAAGAAGAACCTCTTCCTGAAAGCCTCCACTTCTCCTCACTCCGTCAACTCCTCCACTCCACCGAGCATCATGAGCACCGACGTGAAAGAAGTGGCTGCGTCTCTGAACGAAGGGAGAGGGGAAGAAGAGGTGGATTCTGTGGGGAAAAGCACCAGAGGTGGAACGAAGGGGAAGGGATCCAGAGGAGGATTGGTGGCAGTGAGACAACAGAGGGGAGGATGGGCAGGAGGTAAAGATGACTGGGTGCGAGGGGGTGAGAAGCCAAAAGAAGGATGGGGGAGAAAAAGGGGTAAGGGAGAATGGAGAAGAGGGAGCGCACAGAGGAAGAAAAGCAGTGGGTTTGATAACGACACATCCCCGGACTTTGTGCCCTACAAGAGGAGGAACTTCACCAAAACTAACAAGGTCAATGAGGTGACCAGCGTCTACACTCAGCCGGACCAGAAAGTCAGAGGTACACAATTTAATCCTGTCACTGAAGCTTCATCTGATTTACACTTGAGTCCAAGTCTTCTTATTTAATATGTGCTACCATGTATTACTCACTATAATATAGTTGAATGTATTGAAAGTGAAAAACTGAATCCTGGATCCACTGGTTTGTCAGGATCAGGTCAGAACTGTAATAACAGTATTTTGAGTAATCCTGCAGACACATGGAAATTAAAACATAATAATACTAATTGGATTTTTATCACAAACCTTCATTGATTATTGGTGTTTTTTTGGTTTCAGAGGAAACAATTCGTAGGATCACAGACATGAAACTGGACATCGAAGGTGAGTAGTAAGACTTTAGTTTTTCATTCTAAATGTGTTCATCATTTTGCCGTCTCACATTATTAAGGACAGTCCTGTGTACAGGTACGACGACAGCTGAGCTGTTTACATCCATGTAGATGATTTCACCAACTTGGTTTCTTTGTGTCTGCAGATTTGTGTTTGTGCTGTGGATCTGAGAGCGTGGAGATGTCCCACCCTCTGTTTAAAGGAAGCCTCTGTTTAAAGTGTAAAGTAAGAAACCATGAACTTCTCTTTAAGTCACAGTTGGCAGTGACCAACAGTAAAACTCCTCCCAGTTCACTTTGAATGTCATTAAAATGTCGGGAACTGAAGCTCAACACTTTTTCTCTCCGATTATTATTTTTTAGTCCTGCGCTGGCGACACCTAGTGGCTGGAGTTTTATGTTTTCAGGTTGTCTGTCCATCCCATTGTAATGAACACGATGTCTCAAGAACACTGTGAGGGAATGTCTTCACGTTGACTCATTCACTTAGATTCAGTGATGAAGTGATGACACTGAGGTCCTTCTCACCTGAACTCAAACATCTCAACTCTGCCCACAAGGGAATTTCTTCACATTAGCTATAAACGTTCAGTTGGATTCAGAAATGAACTGAGACTAAACCCATTTCAGCCTCTCGAACATTTTATGTTAAGAACATCTTGCGACACTCGTTCACTTCGACTCTTGGATTAACTGATTCGATTTGGAAGGTCGAGGTCACGGTGAGTTTGACGTCAGGAGTTTTTCTTCACATTTAGAGTCACTTTGACTCAAAGAAGAACTGATCAGATTTCAGTGGTTAAAGGTCAAATGTCATGTGACCACATGATGTATCAGGAACACTTGAAAACAACTGAAACAACCGCAGGGCAATAATTCAATATGTTTCTTAAACAGCTGATATTATAATTTCCTCTGATGTCGTCCGTGTCTCTGCAGCGTAACTTCACAGAAACTCTGCATCGTTATGATGAAGATGGATATCAGTCCTACTGCACCATCTGCTGCTACGGACTGGAGGTGATCCTGTGCGGCAATGACAGCTGCTGCAGGTTAGTCTGTCGTATCTCCACATTTTAATCTACTCTACATATGTAATAAAAACTCAAAGTATAGCGTCTGAGTTTTCTTTCATTGTCCAGCCTCCTCTTCTCCTCTTCCTCTGCACCCTCAGGTCTTTCTGTGAGGACTGTCTGAACGTTCTCGTTGGTCCAGGGACGTTCGACTCATTGAAGCTGCAGGACCCGTGGATCTGCTTCCTGTGTCAGCCGCACCGAGCCCACGGCGCTCTGATCCCCAGGGAGGACTGGAGCATTCGTGTTCAGGAGGTCTTTGCCAACAACAGCGCCATGGCGTTCGTGAGTGCTCCACACATTGAATCAGTTGAATTGTTTCACTGTAATACAGTTTCACATCACACAACATGAATTCACTCTGCAGTGACGGGATCATTTGTGCATGATTTACATTCTTAGTGATTCTTTAGCTTCGACCACCATTTATTTTGATACTGAATTTGTCCACTCAGGTTTCTGGATTTAATGTTTTGTCTTTAAATCATCTGAAACGAGAGAAACCTCCGAACATATTTCATTTAAAATATGTTAAACTGAGGAAAATATCCGCTGTTTAGTTTTCAATTAATTAATTAACTGATGAATCAACTAATCCTTTCAGTTCTTATCAGCCAGGACGTCAGGACTCTTTAATGTCAGTGTTTGTATCTCAGCTCTCAGTGTTATACTGAAATTAGAAATCATGTGATTTTAATTGCATTGTTTTTCACATGATGTATAATTTATAAGGTACATTTCAGACATTTTGCTTAAAAAATATATTTAAAACAAACTTGGTTGATCTGTAAAGGCGAATTAAAGAACAGATGCATTGTGAGTTTAAATAACAAGAATACTGAATAAATGAGCATCTTCTGAACAAAATAACCATAAAACAACAAAATAAATTAGAAATTGAATACACTTAAAATACGAAATGTCCCTGCTTTTAAAAGCATTATTTTTAAATGAGCTTAACTCTATGATTTTTTCTTCTATTAATAAATAATCACACAAATGTCTTCTCCTCTGTAGGAGCCGCACCGTGTTTACCCGTCCATCCCCGCCAACCTGCGCAGACCCCTTCGAGTCCTGTCGCTGTTTGATGGCATCGCAACAGGTGACCTCTGCTCTGTCCTCACTCAGATACTTTGCTCCTGTACATGGTCGGTTGTGACATTTGTTTGGAAATGTGTTAGAGCCTCAGTGTGTAAATATGTGTGTCTGTTTTCTCCTCAGGTTTCTTGGTGCTGAAGGATCTCGGCTTTAAAGTGGAGAAATACGTCGCCTCAGAGGTCTGTGAAGACTCCATCGCTGTGGCGGCCGTCAACCACGATGGGAAGATCATCCCTGTAGGCGACGCCCGTTTCATCACCCAGGAACATGTATGTCAACACACAAACACACACTTCCATATACATCACAGAAGGTTAGTATGATAATATTCAAAGTTTCTTTTTGTTTGAAATTGTGCTTTTCGCTCACATGACGTGATTTACTTTACTCGTTAGTTTTGAGGAGCGTTAGGAGCGGTAGAAGAAAATCCATCGGAAGAATTCTGAGAAATAAAGATGAAATTTCAACAATTACCATCACACTTTTCAAGATTATATAAATATAAAAATATATATATATTAATCAGCCTAAACGAATTGTGACTAAAATCAGCTTTTTGTTCTTCTCTGATAATCCAGCTGGAGGAGTGGGGTCAGTTTGATTTGCTGATCGGTGGCAGCCCCTGTAACGACCTCTCCATCGTCAACCCGTTCAGAAAAGGAATCTATGGTACGAATTAGTCCATTTTCAATAATGGCAAACGGCCACGGATTACATGTGGAAAGATGCTGCTTTCTCATTTGAACGTTTTGTCTTAATAATTTTTAAACCTTTGCCTTTTCTTTTTTGCTCTCTTTCCCCGGTCTCTCCTGCAGAGGGCACCGGCAGGCTGTTCTTTGAGTTCTACCGCATCCTTCAGCTGCTGAAGCCCAAAGACGGAGACCCGCGGCCGTTCTTCTGGCTGTTTGAGAACGTCGTCTTCATGAACACACACGACAAAGTCAACATCTGTCGCTTCCTCGAGGTTCGTCCACAGCAGTTCTGGAATGTTCTCCTTTTCTTCTTCTGTGTTCCCTCCTCTTTGTTTCCTCTTTCTTCCTTCCCTCCTCTCTGTCCTTGTTGCCCTGCTGGTTTGAACCAAATGTTTTAACTTGGACAGAATGACTGACTAACAGAGAGCTCACACTTCCTCTCATTCAATCCATCGACAGTGCAACCCGGTGGTGGTGGACGCAGTCAAAGTCAGTCCGGCCCACAGAGCTCGTCACTTCTGGGGAAACATCCCGGGGATGGGCAGGTCTGAGATTTAATTCATTATGGATTAATGTTGTTAATGAAAAATAATAAACTTGCTTTAATACATTATAATCCTGTAGTTTTACACCGTGATACATATATTTCATAGAAATGTGACAAATAAGTTGAGCGAGATTCTTTTCCTTCATTTTACTGCTCTGTTTTTTCTGAGTGAGTGAATGAATGACACCTTGCTCCCCTGTGCACATGTGTAAAAGCCCCATCATGTGTCCAACTTAAGAAAAAGACACCTTTGTGTCCGATTGTTTTGTCCTTTTGGTTGTCTCTGCTTTCAGACATGGAAAGAAGGACACTGGAAGAAGTCTGGACAATTGTAAAAACCCATTGAAAACCTGAATATATGTGTTTGTGTGTTTGCCCCCCCCCCGTCAGGCCCATTGCTGCGTCTCAGAGCGACAGGCTGAGTCTCCAGGACTGTTTAGAGGTCGGCAGAGAAGCCAGGGTCAGTAACTGCTTCAGTTCTACTCAGTTGTTTGTCATCCTGTCATTACTTCATTACTGGATATTGTTTTATGCAGGTCACTAAAGTGAGGACGATCACCACCAATGCAAACTCTCTGAAGCAGGGAAAAGATGTGTCTCTGCTGCCTGTCCTGCAGAACGGTCAAGAGGACAACCTCTGGATCACTGAACTGGAAAAGTAGGTATACTTACAATGTGAATAAGAGTGGGGGGGGGGGGTTTGTGTGAATTGCCAGAATACTAAAACATGTTGGTCTGAACTTAAGGGTGAAATGTTCGCTGATGCTAGTAAATGCTAAGCTATCGTCAACCAAGACTGTGACAACAAACAAACTCATTCATTTTCATGAAGTGATGATGTCACCACGATGGTGATGTCGACGTGAAGGAGCGTTGGACGTCTTCGTCACTGGATGCAGGCATGCTAACGTGCTAACATTCCAACAGTCGTCTCTCTCTGTGTTACTCTCTCTCCCAGATTCACTCCCACTCTGGTCTCGTTTAACAAGAAACGATTCTCAGTAGTACAGACGTCATTTGGTCAATACCCTTAAAAGAACCAAGCTCTGTACTAGAAGGCCCCTGACGATAGCTAGAGAGAATCAGTTCTGGGTGTATGAAATAAAACCGCTAACAACCTGACGTACAGAATGAAAACACACAGGTTGTAACCATAGACTGTATATAAAGAGGTTTTAACACACACTTCATTCACCTCCAGGATCTTTGGTTTCCCCAAACACTACACGGATGTGCGGAACATGAACCGGCAGCAGAGACAGAAGGTGCTGGGGAAGGCGTGGAGTGTCCCCGTCATCCGTCACCTCTTCGCTCCCCTCAAAGACTATTTTGCCTGTGAGGAGCTTTTGACCACGCCCACTTCACACTCCTCCGCCTCCCAGTTGCCGCCTGCCTCTCCAGGACTACAGCTCCTCAGATAGAGGGAGGTCAGGTCTTGGTGAAGTGTGTGTGTGTGTGTGTGTGTGTGTGTGTGTGTGTGTGTGTGTGTGTGTGTGTGTGTGTGTGGAGGGTTTTTCCTTCTATATGATTGATAAGGAGAAGCTGGAGGACAAATGGTCTCTTCTATTCTCAGCAGCTCACAAACAGGCTTTTGTGGTTCCCTGACACGTGTTCATTTTATCTGCTGCGCCCTCGAGGCTCTTGCATCATGTCACACATGTAGTTTCCGCAAATCAGCCTCTTTGTGTTGGATGAAAAAGAAAATGCAGATTATTCTCCCTCTTCTCAGTTTTACTGATAATGTGAAAGGCCATTATCAATGTTGCGTGATGGTGACGATGAAAGAATTCATCTGATCTCAGCCTGTTGGGTCAAAAACCATCTTCGCTGTTTGTCTGGTCAGTTTTAAACCTGAATATTATGAGATAATAAATGTGTCTACATTAGCTATTTTAATGATTTTAATGATTTATAAAAGAACACGTGTGCATGTTAAGTTCGTTATTCACTGCTGCCTCATTGGAGTTGTTTTTCAAAGTGTGAATCATGTTGAAATCTGAAAGTAATGTTTGTTGTTTCCAGGAGAAAAGAAGAACTGCAATTTTGAAAATCTCCAACACTTTAAAAAAAACTATATTGTCAATATTGATGAAGAAGAAAAAAGGCATTTGTGGCTTCATAACCAAAGTTCACACTCTGACCTTTAACCATGATCATGTTTTCACACGTCTTTTTTATTTTTCTGAATTTCTCTTGTCTATTATTAATTCAGGGAAGTCTGGTTTCCAGGCATTTTTAAGTCTTAATTTGAAAGAACTGTGTGTGTGTGTGTGTGTGTGTTATTTTAAACCAATAAGACTGATGGAAACTGCCAAATTTGATTGTTATTGCCTAAGTGTGCTGCCATTTTTCAATACTGACAAACTTTTGAATCTGATTTTAAATTTTAACGTTGAATTATCTTAGACCACTGAGGGGCGTGTCCTGTTGACTGATTGTCGTAGAGAATGTAAATGCAGATTATGAGTTTGATGAATGGGTTTTGAAAAGTGTTCTGGGTGAGAGTGTCGAGGTGGGGGAGGGATGTCAGGGTGTGAAACATCTGTAGTGAAACATCTTTGTGACTGTGATCTCTGCACCAGATACTAGTGATATTTAGTTTATGTGGAAGTGTTTGAATATAGAACGATGCTGCCTCTGCATGTTGTGTATTTGAGTTACTGAATGGAAATAAGACATTTTAACTCGGTTATGTTGACCAATGCCAGAGAAAATAATAAAAACGAATTTCAGATGGATTCAGAGGATGATGTCTTTATTTCACTTATTTAGTATTTTCTTTTCTTCTGTTGTCACATTTAATTTTTATCATATTAAATTGTAGTATATTTGAATTGCTGCCAGCGGGTTTCTATTTTAATTGGATTTTCATTGATTAGATTTTTGTCACATTTGATTTAATTTCACTCTTTTTTCGTCACGTTGATCCGGTCCTCGCTGACGTCATGAGACCGGTTCTTCCGCCGCCGGTGAAGAGGAAGAGGAAGAAGAAGAGGAAGAGGAACCAGCCGCAGCATCACCAGAAGAAGAAGCAGCTCCACCATCAGAGCCGCTAACGACCAGACTATCGCTCAGCGGCTGTTTATGACTCACGCTCACTACAGACGAACATCATCGAGTCTGAGAGACGCGAACGTTAATCCTCTCCCGGTAAGTGCAGCGACTCTGCCCCGGTAAGTGCGGCGACTCTCCCGGCACCGTTATGGAGCCGGAATGTGAGGCGGCTAAGCTAAGCTCTGCTTGCTAACACATTAGCTTAGCAGACCGGGATGCGCCCTTTTGAGTGAGCGGCGCAACAGTGACGGTTCTTCGGGTGTAGCAGCCTCCGGTTGTTCGCGGAGAAACACGGAGCTCCGGGCGCTGCGTTTAAAACTCTGTCACATTAGCGGTGACGAGCTAACGGAGGCTAACGCGGTACCCGGTGAGTTCAGGGCGGGGAAACGGCTTCATGTCGGAGATACACTGACTCACGTTAGCCGGCGGTTAGCCGGCAGTTAGCCGGCTACATGATGCTAGTCTGAGCTACATGTTCGTCGCCATTAGGACTAAAGTGAAAACTCGTTCAATCAGCTGTCGACAGGCGGCTTCAGACCGGACACTCGGACCAGTAGCCGCGGGGCTAAGCTACATGTCAGAGGAGCTCAGCTGTGGATGACTGGGCTAGCTGCGGCTAACGGGAGCTTCCAAGTTCCTGAACGTGGCCTGTTGCGTTCAGCTGCTGCTACTTCATCATCAGCCTGGATGTTAGCAAGTGCAGCACCACCGGCTAAAGATCACCTGTGTGTCTGTATCGATCAGAACTGTTTTCACGAGTCATCAGGATCACAGACCTCAGATCACAGACCTCAGATCACAGACCTCAGATCACAGACAGCACTGCGTCACGAGACCTTCAACAGTTCTTCAGGGAACAATTCACTCAAAGAACCAATGAAAACTTCTGAAGCTTCCTCAGAGGTCCAGTTGTTGAATCAAGGTTTTATTTCAGATCAGTTCAGAGTCACTGGACATTAAACACGTCATGTAGGGTTCTTTCATTCTGACATATTTAATTCAAGGATCTTGATGAAATAAATCAGGCATATTAACTGGACAGATATTTCTGCGTGTGATGTATTATATGTGGACTGTTGGGAGAGCTCTGTGCTCTAATAATAATAAATCATTTCTGAAGTAATTAGTGATTCTTCTCGTGTCTCTGTGTATGACTAAGGCCTCAGTCCTGGTTTTTTAACAAACCAATGTAAAGTGATGAATCACACTGTCAGGATTCAAATGAACTCTCGGCCAGCTGCTTTGTTCAGGAACCGTTTGTCTGCACCGGGTTTGCTGAGTGGTAGAGCTGACAAACTGTCATCAGGTTTATAATTCTATACTTACACTGTCGTCTCCTCCATGGCAGCACGTGACCCACAATGGCTGTGAACGTGTACTCGACCTCAGTGACCAGCGACAACCTAAGTCGTCATGACATGCTGGTTTGGATCAATGAGTCTCTACAGATGAACCTCACCAAGATTGAAATGTTGTGTACAGGTAAGTTTGGTTTCTGATATTATAATATTCCACAGCTACGTTTACCTCTTTCTTTAGAGGAACTTTATCTCAACCTCCTCCACTGTCGCCGTGTTTGTTGTCAGAGACTCCGCTCTGTAAAGACAGAATAAATGAACCTGCTGACTCAGCTGCTGATTTCACTTCTTCTGCTCATCTGATCAGTGTCTTGATTTGCAGTTGGTGCTAACACTGTAATACTACCTTAAGAAGTGGATCAAACCTGCTGTGCATTCATCACTTCCAAAAAAACATTGTTCAAAACAAGTGATGGTGACAAAAAGGAATATTTTATCCAATTGCCTAAACCACATGACCTGCTGATACCTTCATACTGTTTCACACCCACCGTCCTGTGTCGTACCTCTGCAGATGTAACAGCACCAACAGACAATGGTAATGATAGTGCCAAACCAATCATGTGGCTAAAATAGAGTTACAGCGTGTCAGGTAGGAGGAGCATAAGAAAGCACATGAGCTAATTTCTGGTTATCTGATTTATATCATGATGTTTATCAATATCGACCTGATATGTAAAAATGATCGTGATAAGGTTTTCCCCTGATCGCCCAGCCCACACGCCCTGTCATGATTTTACAGTAGCAGATATAAACAACTGAAGATTTCGTGGTCAATGTTTTTGCTGCAGGTGCCGCCTATTGCCAGTTCATGGACATGCTGTTCCCCAACTCGGTGCCTCTGAAGAAAGTGAAATTCGGTGCCAAGCTGGAACATGAATACATCCACAACTTCAAGCTTCTGCAGGTTTCCTTCAAAAAGATGGGAGTTGACAAAGTAAGTGGCACACCTACATGTCTGCTTGAAATCACATGGTGTATCTGGGCCTGTCCTGTATCGTCTCATATTACGTGGCAGTTGAGTTTATTTGTTGTTGACTGAAAAAAAAATCCTGAATCAAGTCATGACGCAGCTTGAAAATCTCTTACAAAGCCTCACATGGATGCAGCTACAGATCTTCAAGTTGAATTTAAAACCATGATATGATCAAAACATTGAATACTGGAGAAACGAATGACAACACATGTCATCTGTTCTTTTACAAGTTAATCGTTGCCCTCGCTATTGCCTTGAAAAAAAGAGCCAACGTGAATCTGCAAATAAATCTTTATATAAAACTGTATGTGAGCGCTTCTGCTCACCTCTGAGACTCTGGATATTCAAGAGAGACACCGGACCTGCAATGTGCGCCAGCACCTGACGCAGAAGAAGCAGCTGCAACCATCCTGCAGAGGCGGGTCGGTTTTGTTCGGTATCTCCAGTACTGTTAGAATTTTGGCATCAACTTGGTACCAAAGTATCGGTTCTCGTGACATCTGTAAGTGAGGCTGCATTTTCTGGAGCTGCCTCATAATAAAAATCTACAGCACTGAATATGAGAGGAGGTGAATTGTGATGCCTGATTGTTATTGTGCACCTGCACCTACTCTTAAACACTGCAGCGAGACTTTACTCCAAACTTTCTCTTGTCACAAACTGTCCAGACAAATCACCCTCACAGTGACTGCGCTGTATTGTGATGTCGGCCATTTGAAGACGCGAGTAACAACGCTGCTTTGACGAGACTGTTTTGACTCCTGATCACTGTGGTAGCTTGTTCAAACTGAGTAGTACTTCCTGCTGCTTGATATAAGAAGTGAAGCTCCTGTCGTCCCTCCCAACCAGCCACGCTGCTGATCTGCTCATGAGTCATTTTGTTTTTATAACCAGTGTTTGCTCAGCTTCACTGTGGATCCAGTTACTACTGCAGTGTTTCCAGTGGATGGAGTTGTATCAGCGGAGGTAAAGCCAGTGTGCACGGGACAAATGACTGTCATGATATAATTAATGTGACGTGCAAACAAGGGATAGAAGACAAGCAAATGTTAATGTTCCCTCGTTTTAAACGCCCTGTGCCGCCCCAGCATGATGCTCCATACCTAGATCCTTCTCAATGGACTCTCCTCTCTCATCCAGCTTTGACCCAAAAGGTTTTCACTTCACCTCGGCTGCTTCACTGTGTGTCACTCTGAGAGAGTGAGTGAATGTGGGTGGGGCCAGCCCTGTGCATGCGTGCACGCCTCGTTCTCAGACACAAAGAGAAGCAACACAACTCACTCACTAAATGTTGGTGACATTCTTGTATAAATAAACACGATGTGCAATTTATTGAGGTCACCAAAGTTATCAAGTTTATGTTTGTTTAGGATCAGTCCATACAGTAATTATCAGGACAGACCTCCTCGGTTCACCAGCTGCTAAACGCATGTGGGAGAAACGCTGCTGCTGTCATGTCTTCATCAATCAGAGTAAAAATGAGACTGTGCACCAGCAGAAATATTACTGACTTGCTCGGGTGACTTTTCTAAGCTCCGCAGAGTTCACCAGACTCAACGTCGTGGTTTAGTTGACTAACTTTAGTATGTGTCGTTCGCACAGTTCGTCATTTTCTGACACTTTTGAAACAAAAGACGAAGTTGAGTGGAGATATGGAGCAGTGTGGCATCATGGGAGTTATTTGATGATTAGCTGCTGATCTGTGAAAAGAGGAAAGAAGTCAAACGTCAGGTCTTCATCAGCTGAGTTCGTCTTCATTATCTGAGGCTTTTCAATAGAAGGTGAAGTGCATTAGTAATAACTTCAAAACAGGGCGTGTCCGGCTCAATCTTCCTTTGTTTCCTTTGCTGCTATAATTTATTCATGAGCCACTTCCTGTCAGTTTCCTCCAGCTTCCTCTTGTCATGCGTGTTTCAGCAGAAACATTGTTTGTATTTTTCCTGCACAGACCACATGTTGTTAGTTTGTCGTTTTATTCCCAGGTCACTTTGTGTTTCACTTGACACTGATGACATTTGTAGTTATAGGCCCCACCCACACAGATACGTTTTCATGGCACACCAACTCAACGCTACAGATTTGTCTCACATCCATTCTACTCCGGAGTTTTAGAATCGCTAAAACTAAAATGTTTTTAAACACTGCTGGTCCCATTTGAGTTTTTCAGGGCGATGCTGTAGTCTGGACGACTTTTGGAAACGATGACGCAGCCACTCTCAACCTCTACATGATTGGTTCTTTCAGATCATTCCCGTGGACAAACTGGTGAAGGGGAAGTTTCAGGACAACTTTGAGTTCGTCCAGTGGTTTAAAAAGTTCTTTGATGCCAACTACGATGGGAAGGAATACGATCCAGTGGAGGCAAGGCAGGGCCAGGACGCCGTGTCCTCATCCAACCCCACCACATCAGCACTCAACAAACCCCCGAAGAAGGCCATAAATCAAGGTCAGGGGGGCGAGTGAGTCTTAATGTGATTATGATCGATGGCAGGAAAATAATATTCTGTCACGTGTGTCTTCAGCTCCCCAGAGGCCACCCGTCGCCAAGGTGGCGCCAAAGTTGGCTCCGGTGAGCGTGAGGAAAACGGGGATGGGAGGAGCCGATGAGGAGAGGGCGGAGCTCATGAATGAGGTGAGCGCACCACAGAAAAAAAGAATCAGCATGGAAACATGATGTCAGAGGTAGAAACAATAGGTAATGATGAGTTTTTCCCGCAGCTGGAGATCCTGAAATCCACCTACCAGGACATGGAGAAGGAGAGAGACTTTTATTTTGGTAAGCTGCGGAACATTGAGCTGATCTGTCAGGAGAAGGAAGGCGAGAGTGACCCCACCCTGCAGAGGATCATTGACATCCTCTACGCCACAGACGTGAGTGTCCGCTTTTCTTTTCTTTATTTACATTAAGTCTGTTGTTGCTAATTCATTTTGAAGATTGAGTTCCATTCCATCATATCGTCAAGTAAAAAAGACGAAGTGTCCTCTGAGCCAAAGTTCTCCACTGTCGTCCTGAACTTTTAAAAACACGTCAGTCAAACACACGTTCCCTCATCACCGGGATCACACTCCTTCATTTATTGACCGACCCCATCAAATGCAGTTTTTGTCCTGTTCAGTGAATGAGTCCGAAGGTTTGATAAAATAAATAAAAAGATGTTATGAGTTGTGTTTTCAATGTGAACAATGTTTGACTCTGAGTTAAAGGAAAAGTGTTAAATAAAGTACGTCACCAGCTTTATTTAGAAATACACATCCCATGAGCCTCTGACATGTTCTTGGTTCGGTACCAGATTAAAACCATTTGCTCTGTCAACTGCTGCTGATGCCGTTGTGAATTCCTGCAGAGGAATGTCCTGCAGCTCGTTTACTGAGGCTCAAATTCTTCACTGATTCTTGTCCAGGAGAAAATATTAACCCATGAAGACCTGATGTAAGCGGGAGTATCAACCCCCGTCACCCATCGGGTTGTGAGCTGTTCATTGTCGCGTTGTTGCGACGACACTACGAGCTTGTGAGCGAGTCTTCAAAATAAAGGAAAAAGTCAAAAGTGAAAAAGGTTGTGTCTGAAATTACTCACTCATTTATTCCTCCTTGTTTACGATTCAGTGAAGTCATCAGCAAAGAAAACAAAATGGCTCCGGCCCAGACAACATTATTTAAAAATCTTTATTCATGCTTCTAGAAGTATATAGCGTTTAAATGTAGAAATAAACTTGTTGGCTGGACTTGACGACTCAGATTTGTCTCCTGTCATAAAAAAAAACATTTTTGGGACGAACCTTAAAACAGACGGTTTTATAATCTGTTTGAAATTCTGAAAAATAAAAACCTGTCTGTCTCTGTCCTCATGATGAGAATAATGAGTAGAGTCAACAGAAACAGAAGAAGCCCTCTCTCCTCCTCTTTCACACATTTTTCCTCCTTCCACTTCTGTAAGTGCAATGCATGATGGTAAATGTGGCTTGTACACTACTTTGCACCACGTGTCCTGTGGGAGCCGTTTCCTAACATTCAGACAGATCTACAGTGTGGAGCTGAACAAACAGCAGCAGTGAGACACAGTCAACACTTTATCTGCTGAGCTGGATGATGAAGCGTCTCTGGTTCTCATCTCTCTCCCTCCCTCCCTCCCTCCCTCTCTCCCTCTCTCTCTCTCTCTCCCTCGCTCTCTCTCTCTCCAGGATGGCTTTGTGATACCTGATGCTGAGGAGCCAGAGGAGTTTTAATGCTCAAGACTACAAGCAACTTGTCTCTCAGACGCCCTGGTCTACAAACGAGATCTTTCCTCACGCCATGTTTGGTTTTTATATCTGACACCAAACCTGATCTTGACTTGTGGCCCCTCACACCCCCCCCACCCCCACCCCCTTCTTCTTTCCTGAATCCTAACCTGCCGGACGTCTTCTCCTCATCTTCAGCCCGTCATACACAACTCCACCCCTTCTTCCCCAAAAGGTCTCTGACCAATTATCAACAACAATCAAGCCTCGGTCACTGCCACTCCTCTACACAGTTGCCCCCCCACCCCCCTCGCCTGGAATCCCAACCTTCCCAAAACCAGATGGTGCATTACATGTCTGGTTTTAGAAATGGACGTCAGTGTGATAAACACAGTGATGTTCTGTGTGTATGTGTGCGTGTGTTAAAACATCCATTGAAACAAATCAAACGTGACGAACCTCCTCTGAAGACCCGGCTGTCGAGTCACAGACCACTTTGTCCCAGACTTCCCCGACAGTTGGCTGCGTGATGAGTCTCCTCTTCACGCAGAGTTCATCCATTTGGAGGAAGATGAGGAGAAAAACGGAAGCGTAGTTTATTATTGATCGTAGCAATTTTTTCAAGCTGGCGCGCTTTAAAATGTCCAGTGTGATTTGAGGAGCAGGTTTGCAGAAAGTAAAACGTAGAAGATATGAAGGAAAAGGTCAAACCTGTGAAGGGCTCAGGTTCAGTCTGTGACGAGGCAACAGTCGGGTTCTTCTCTCGGCCTTTTTCCACCTGTGACAAACTGTCACCGTGTTGATTTGTCGTGTTCAGCTTCAGATGAGCTTTTGTAAATTTATGCTACTGTTTTATCACATTTTTTCCTCCCGTCTGGCAGAGTTCCGTTTTTTTGGGCTGCAGTTTTCTCGCAGCAGTTCGTGTTTTTGCCGCTCACACGCTCCCGCTTCACCTCATGTTTCACTCTTTGAAAACGTGCGATTCTTTCTACCAGGAAAGTGGCTTACTCTTCCGGTTGATGTGAGACTAAGTTTCTGAAGCTTTTGCGGGCGGTGGCCTTTTTGATCAACATGCCAATGTTTAGTAAGAAAGTGCTAAAATACAGTTAGAGACTGCATGATTGTTTTCATATGTTTTTGTCTTTTTGGAAAAGTCTGTTTTAAGGAAGATGCACTGTTTGATACCAGTGGCCTTTAATCAGCCCCTCGCCCATAAGAAAAATATGAATCATTCCGAAAGGATGATGGGAAATCCAGAGCAGCCACCTGACAAACACTGTGAGCTCGGACTGTGGCTGCTCATTGTAGCCAGTCACATGACCTGAGTGAAGCTGTGAGTGGCTTGTTTCTTCAGGTCATCACTGAAACTTCAAAACAAAGTGTGATCAATCTGTAAGTACAAACTTCACGTTGCCGCTCTGAGGGCGTCTCCGTGTTTTGTACTTCCACACCCTGATTCATTTTTAATATTAATATTGTTTATCGTGGATCTGATTTGAGACCAGTTTTTGTAAAATATAATTTCTGACAAGTTTGTATCTGATTAGAAACAAACGAGTGTTGATTTCACACAAACAGTAAAACACAACTCTATCTTAATGGCCTTATTCATAAAGATTCTTTTTTCAACAGTAAATATTCTTCATAACTTTTCCTCTAACTTTACTGTATGTCTCTACTGTTCTGGGTAAATGTTTGTGCTGTGACGGTCGTATTTTTAAATGTGTTCTGAAAATAAAGTACGTTGGAGGTATTTTGGATAAAGGCTCAGATGTGTTGCAGAGCGCCTGTCTTCCATTGAATGATCAAAAAGAAAAAAACATTTGCTAAAAACAAATTTAATGCAAGTTGAATTTGAATCAAGTATTTCTGGTGAATTATCAATTTTAAAAAATCTTTGAGCTGTGATCAAAGCGACGGCTGCAGACGTATGAATTCATGTTCTGTTAAAGATCTGTTTGTCCAGTCGATCACGTACTGAAAGTGCTGTAGCTAAATGTGTTAGCTTCATGCTAGCTCAAAGGCCTTTAACAAAACACCTGGGTTGACCTGAACTTTGTTCTCTGGTTGTTGTTTCAGTTAAAACCATCTCTTTTACGTTTCGTGGACCATGTGTGATGTAGATGTTGGAGCTCGGTTACACTCTGACTCGTGACTCAGATCTAAGTGCTGACGGACTCTGAGTTTCTACATCCGTGTCTGATGAACAATGTCCCACTTGTTTTCTCTGTTATGGTCCTTTTTATTTTTTTAATGCAGCAAGAAAATAATGGTGTAGTGGTTTGTAGCAGAAGCTCCATCTTCTCCCTCTGCCTCAGTTCATGTGATTCACTGCTGAGCAGCAGAATGAAGCTGTTGTGATTGGGTCTTTGTTCAGTTACACACTTTAAACTGCTGAGAGTTTTCAGACGTTTCAGGCCGAGCTCCATCACATCCTCGTGAACCAAATGTTCATTTCAGGTGTTGATTTCAAAAGCATCTCTTATTTGAATTATGCATCAGCAACTGAAAGTCAAAACTAAAACTCAACGCTCTGACGTACGGACGCAACATAACAGCAAACTGTCTCTGGAAGTTAAAAAAAAAAAAGGTGTCCCCCTTTCACCTCTTTTGAAGCAATTGAATATAATTAAAACCTACTGGTGTCAGGAAAGTTTTTTTATTCACTTTAGTTTTTTTGCTTGATCAATTTTTGAACTATCGATGAAACGTCAAAGATGTCTCTCATGTCTCAGACGATCAAAAGCTGAAACCAGGAAACGTTTCTCGTGTTTGTTTTAACAGTTGATAATCAGCACAAAGATCCATTAACAGATGAACAGTTCAAGCTGCTGAATATTCACACCGAAAGCTTTAATAAAAACAAAGCTGAACAAATAACTAAAGATCAACTGAGATCAGTTCAAACCACTGAGAAGTTATTAAAACCAGAGTTTATCTCCAATGTTCAGCAGCAAACTTTAAAACATGAAGAACTCTGAGCAGAGTTTGATAATTTGTTACAGCAGAAGCTCTGCTGGGTCAGGAAGCAGAGGATCATGGGTATGATGTGATGCGACGCGGTCACTTTGATTTTACATGAAACCATTTCATTACCACATGCGTCTCTAGGGGGCGCTGTTGCCCAGTGACAGACACTTCAGTCACTGGTCAGCTGATAGGAAGATTTCTTTAATGGATGATTTCCAGATGTAGTAAAGTATCTTATATGTTGTGTCGACTGTTCAGGTCAGTGATTGTGTGTTTAATTGCCCGAGTGTTAACGAGCTTCATGAGGAGTTCATGGTTGCTGTGGGATACGTCGTTATGATCTTAAGGCCTTGATTCAGATCAGTGGTGACATCACATCGTTAGGCTCTGACCTCTGACCTTTTTCCCTTGTAGCAATCAGTGTGTTCACTGTGGGCGAGTGACACTGACTCTCTCTCTCTGACGTGTTTGTTAAAAATATGATGAACTCGATTTTCTGGAATCAAGTTTCGTACAAACAATAAAACTGAATTTCCTAATCAATCAGAATCTGCAGTTTATTGAATCTCTTCTCTCGTGTCCTGAAATTATGAATCAGTTCATTCAACGCACATTTAAGAACTCTGACAGCTGTCAATCAAATACAGTGAAATAATAAATGGCCGACATAAAACTGACCTATAAAAAAATGATTAGTATTAAAATCACAATGAGTTTGCCACATGTTTTACCTGATGTTTGACCGTATGTGTCTTGTATGTTAACATCTTTTCATTATAAGCTTTATTGAATAAATCAGTGTTCTCTTGTTTCCTTTTAACACACACTGAGTTTTTATGTATATTTTTTTTTTTTTTTTCATTTTTTCTATTCCCTTTTAAAGAATGAATAAGTGTAAAGCACAGTCCTGATCCATCAGAGGTGGATTTTAATTCATATTTTAAATGTATCAACACATTTTTACTTTAGAAATCCGTTGGTGTGAGAACTGTTCTTTAAATGTGTAAAATCCTGAAGAATCATTGTAAAGGTTTGTTGAAGTCTCTTCCTCGAACTGGCCCTGCTCATGTAGACAGATGTTTCATTCACTCTGTGTTTAAAGTTGTAGAAACATGTTTCAGGGTTTTGTGTTTCCTGAAATGTTCACTGTCGATTTTACGGGAAAAACAATCGTGTGAATTCTGAGCTTTACCAGCGGCACGTGAACGCCCCGTGAGCTGTGATTGGCTGCTGCTGGAGTTGGGACAGAAGAAGAAGAAGCAGCAGCAGCAGGTGAAGAGACAGAAGAAGAAGAAGCAGCAGCGGGGCGGTCCTCTCTGAAACACCTGAAACATCTGGAAACACCTGATACATCTGGAAACGGAGTTCGGACTGAAGCTGCATCAACACTGAGCTTCGTTCAGTTCAAGAGGAACCAACACGTCTGCGTCATTTCCTCCGCCGCAGCTGGACTGAGCTAGCTTAGCCTGTTAGCTTAGCAGGTCACCGTGTGTGTGTGTTTGTTTGTGTGTGTGTGTGCGCGCGCGCAGGACTTCACTTCCAGAACACATCGACCCGGAGCTGCAGCAGAACCGACCCGGACTTCACTTCACCATCTCGGCTGCACGCGAGGCCTCCAGCGTCGGTGTGTGCGCGTGAAGAGAAATCACGCAGCAGAAGCAGGAAGTGTGGATGAGCTCTGCTGCTAGCATCCTGCTAGCACCCTGCTAGCTGCACTGGTTCATTGTGCCGCTCAGAGGGGGAGGTGTCAGACATTTCTCTCATCGTGGTGAACAGTCACCGACATGATTCCAGACAAAGCCCCGAAGGAAGACGTCTTCCACGGGTCTGATGACCTGAAGAAGGAGGCTCACATCTCCAGCTTCGAGAAATACAAAGAGCTGTACATGAAGTCTGTGGAGAGTCCAGGAGGTGAGTCTCTACACGTCTCACTGCTGCACACTGCTACACACTGCTACACACTGCTGCACACTGCTACACACTGCTACACACTCCTACACACTACTGCACACTGCTACACACTACTGCACACACTGCAACACACTGCTACACACTACTGCACACTGCTACACACTGCTACACACTACTGCACACTGCTACACACTACTGCACAC